TCAAATTTTGATTTTGGTACTACTCCCCTCCCCCCAAAAAATAGAGTCAGAGGTTGCTTTTTGTTTTGGCGGTCTTGGGGCTAGAACTGTAGGCCTGGGCGCTGCTCCAGAGCTCTTCAGCTCAAAGCTAGCGCTCTACCACTTGAATCACAGCGCCACTTCTAGTTTTCTGAGTGGTTAATTGGAGATAAGAGTCTCATGGACGTTCCTGCCTGGGCTGGCTTTGAACCATGACCCTCAGATCTCAGCCTCCTGAGTAGCTAGGATTACAGCTGTGTGCCACCGGCATCCAGCTACAGAGTTTAGTTGAGAGCCAGAGAGCAATACTGAGGATTAAATTCAAGTGATCTATCACAGCAGCCACACCCCCAGCCCTTTTGCTTTTAATTTGTTTTCTGGATGGAATCTCTTACTTTTGCCCTGCCAGCCTCAAACGATGATACTCCTATCTCCACCTCTTGAGTAGCTGGAATTATACATGTGTACCACTGTGCCTGGTCCTTAAGTGGTTTGGGGGATGATAGCACCTGTGCAGGGAATGGAAGCTGTGGTGGGGGCTGGGAATAGCAGAACTGGTGGGATGGTGTGTCCTGTGGAGGGGTAAGGAGGCTGGGCATGAGGCTGGCATTGCCATCAGAAAGAGTGTGGGAGAGGTGGCTGGGGGAAAACCAGAGATGCTGAGGGTGTAGTGGAAGGAGGAGCTGGCTCCTGCAGGCCTGGGATGCCTCAGGTGCAATCCAGACACGGAGGAAGGGACAGGGGTAGGGATCCTGATTGGCTGGCACAAAATGAGTATTACTACATTCTTGGTGGCACTCGCAGGAATGGCAGCAATAGCTCTTATGAAGCACTCACCACCCGCCCAACTGTAAGCTCTATGCCTCACATCCAAGATCTCACATCGCATGCATAGATCCACCCCAACAGGTCAGCCGCCCGCAGTGGTAAATCTTCACATCCCCTTTTTCCAGGCAGGAAACAGGCTCAGAGAGTCCGAGGGTTCTACACCAAGCATCTGATCACGATGAGCTACAAACCTTGAAAGGTTCCATTCTGGGGCTCGTGCCTTGGTGACACTGTGCTTGTGTTAAGGACTGAGAGTGGCTGTTGGGGCTCTTTGGGATGTGAGATGTGTGTGTGTGTGCCTGTATGTGGCTCCTTTTACTGTGCTTTTTCTGTATTTGTGGGGGCACCAGAGGTAGAATATAGACAGGATAATGAGAAGCATTACAATCGTAGCTTCAGAATTATCTTGCGCTGCACGCCGGTGGCTCACACCTGTAATCCTAACTATTCAGGAGGCTGAGATCTAAGATCAAAGTTCAAAACTGTGAGACTCTTATCTACAACAAACCATTCAGAAAACCAGAAGTGGCACTGTGGCTCAAGTAGTAGAGCGCCAGCCTTGAGCTGAAGAACTGAAGGACAGCACCCAGGCCCAGAGTTCAAGCCCCATGACTGACAAAAATAAAGCTGCTCAGGGACAGTGCCCAGGCCTCAAGTTCAAGCCCCAGGACTAGCAAACAAAACAAAACAAAACAAAACACAATAATTATCTTGCTGAGCCAGATAATACATGCCTATAATCCCAGCTTCACTGGGAGACATAGGTAGGAGGATCCAAGGCTGAGGCCAACTCTGAGCAAAATGCATGAGACATCTCTCTGAAAAAATAATGAAAGCAACAGAAGGCTGGACACGTGGCTCAAAGGGAGGCAAGCACTATCTGACTAATAAGCTTGAAGCCATGAGTTCAAATCCCAGGACCACTGATCACACACACACACACACACACACACACACACACACACACACACACACACACACACACACACACACAACACCAGAAAGAGTATTTGTTCTCCAGAGGTTGCTATTACTGTATCACCAGATTTGGAGGGGATCCTTTCATGTCTCTGATATTCACCTGCCTGGAGTTGCCCTCTGACCTCTTCACCCCACTCCTTCTGTCCTGTGTCCCTTTTCTTCTGCCCAATGGTATCTGCCATCAAGGCTGGTATGTGAAAATCAGCCCTAACAACTTCCATCTCTTCTATTTCCTCCCACATGTCCCAGAAGCAAGCAGAAAGGACAACGGTTGAGAAGAAGAACTGCTCCTGTCTGGCCCCACACTACTTCCTGTGAGGCTCTATCCCTGAGCCTCAACACAGGGTTCCTTAGAGTGTTTGCCCATACAACGGAACCAGCCTCCTGGATCTGAACCACACACAGCTCTGTCTATTGGTAGCTGGCTGACCTTGGACAACTTGCTTCACCTCTCTGCGCCTCAGATTTTTCATTGATCAGATGGCCAATGTAACAGAACTGATATAAGGATTTAAATGAGCCATGCAGAGAAGTTCCCATAATACTTTGCACATCGCAGCACCATAAAATGTTAGCCATTATTGCAATTTATTATTATTGTTAAAGTGAGTGTAAAGGCATTCAACAATCATCGTGGTGCCTATTAGTACATTGTCATTGCAGTACTGTTAAGTTCCTGAAGGTCAGAAAAGGCCGGGGTAGGGAGGGGAGGGAGTGGTTGATTCAGTACCCCACCGCCATGATGGTTCATTATTAAAATGAGCTTTCAGTTTTTAAGATCGGAGCCCAGGCCCTTGCCCCAACTTGCCCCTGAGTCTGTCTGTCCATAGAGAATTGTTCCCCTTGCCTCAGTTTCCCCTCAGGGTACCTTGGAGAGGGGACAGGGGAAAGTCTGAGGGAAGATGGTTCCCAGAGGCGCTAGTTTGGCCACTGTGGAAGACAGGCCAATAGATAACACAGAGGGGAGGTGGTCCCGGTGGTCCAGGACTCCCTAAATCCTGCAAGAGATCTCCCTCCTCCCATAGAAGCCATGTGACCTTTGTAAATAGTTTCCTACCCTTGAGCCTTGGTTGTCCTCATCTGTCAAAAAGCAGCTCCCATCATCTCCATTGGAGGGTTGTGTGAGAAATGCCCCCCACTTCTCATAGTAGGTGCCAAGTAGGCGGAGGTGACAGTCATTAGCAGCAGCTCATTGTTACTGCTGCCTGGAGCCCCTTTGGAGCTTTGGAGCACCTCAGTGCCTTTAAGACAAGGGTGGGGGATCCTCCTCCCTTCCAGACTCCTGTCCCAGCAGGAGAGAAGGATAGGCAGGCTGAGCTCAGGCGCCTCCTGGGTCCCCATTCTCTCCAGCACTGGGAATGGCAGTGGGACAGGAAGGAGGGAAGGAAGTCGGCTGGGACATTTTCATGTGTGTGCTGGGGGGTGGAGGGGGTGTAGGAAGAAGGACAGGAAACTCCCTCCCACCCCTCCCCCCCACTTCCCTTTCCTTTGCTTTCCACTGGCCACCTTCACAGGCATCCAAGGGGGAAGGGGTCCCTGATTTCTGTCCCACCTAGCTAGAGGTTGAGGGGGCTGCGATGGGAAGAAGCGAGGGAGCTGTGTTTATCTCCACAGAGGGGGTAGGAACCTGGCCTGCACCCCAACATATCAGAGAAAGAAAGGGTGCACTGGGCCTCAGGCCACCCCTCTCCCATCGGGAGAAAAAGGCCAGAGGAAGTGGAGCTTTTTGGCCAAGGTGACCTAACGGGGGTTGGGGGGGGGAGTTTTTCTGATCTAGGGTCTCCCTCCTCCCCAGGGGCTGGGCTCTGAGGACCCCCAGAGAAGCTCTGCCTCTCCTCTATGACCCCCCCCCCCCCCCCCGCAGCCTGGTTTTTTTGGTATACAGAGTTCCCCAGGTCACACGCAGACCTCATGGTATCACACAGACACACACGTACACACACACACTTGTCACCCATCTCATCTCTTCCATCTCTGGCCACACACACCCAGCCTCTTCATAGCTTGTTACACACCCACACGCTCCACTCCCTGGGTTGTCATGCGTGCAAGCCCCTGCCATTTAGGGTACCTACCCCTGTTATCTACCCTGATGCATTTCATCCCCAATCCCCAGCCTCTGGCTCGTCACACCCCCCTGTGACATCACGGTTGCCCACCTCCAGGTGTCACGCCCAGCCACAGCCTCTCTGGAGTCACACCCACACCCTTTTCTTGTCACCAGCTTTCTCCAGGTCCCCCCAGGCCCTCCCCCTCCACGCCTGTGTCACACACAGGGAACCTCTGTCCCCAACGCACACAGGGCCAGCCTAGTCAGCACTCCCTACACACCCCCTTGCGTGTCACACCCCCCCCTCCTATGCCACCGCCACAGCGGCCTCCCTGGGGTGGCCTGCACACAGCTTTCCTTGTCCCCCCACGGAAGATCTCAGACACAGAACCCGGCTCCTCTCACCTAGCCCTGACTCTTCCACACACAACTCACATGTCCTCTCTGGATCCTGTCAGATCCAGCCTCTCTGTCACACACCCAGCTCTCCCAGGGCCCTTATGGACACACACACACATACACACACACACATGCTCACACACGCACCTGTCCTAGCCACCCACCCGACTTTACACGCCCACCTTTTCCTCCCGGTCACCCAACACACCCACCCAGCCCAGCCCCACGCACGATCCCGCCCAGGGTCCCCCGGGGACAACCTTTGCTCAGGACATCCCCAGGGACGGGAGTGAGGACAGGGGAAGCTCTGGGTCCACAGGCCGCCTCTACTCCCTCCCCTCCCCCCGCCAGGACACGCAAGCTGGGGGAACACCCCAGCCCCGAGAAAGGGTCACGTCACACACCCCTCAAGGACACAGGCACCGGGGGGCCCGGAGTGACCCGAGTCCCCATCCTCGGATCCCCCCACCCCCCACCAAGGACACTTACCACCCCCTCCCCCCCCCAGCCCCTCTGATTCAAACAAAGCTCTAGGCCCCGGGGCCTGCGGCGGGCGACGAGAGGAGAGGGTCCCGACCCCAGCTCCCCCGCTCCCCCCACCGGCTCCGGGAGGGGGGCGCCCCTCCTCTCCCCCATCCAGAGCTCTTGCACCTGCCAGGGCTGTGGGGGGGGGTGGAGGAAGGCGAGCCCCCCCCAGCCTCCCCTCGCGGGGCGCCTCCCTCACCTCCCGTGTTGCTGCGCTTGGTACAGACCACCTCGGGGGGCGTCTCGAGGGGCCGCTTGCGGGAATCCGGGGCCTCGGGCTCCATGGGGGGGGCCTGGGGCGGCGGCTGCTGCTGCGGCGGCTGCGGCGGCGGCGGCGGCTGCTGTGGCGGCGGCGACGGCTGCTGGGGAGGCTGGGGCTGCGGCGGCGGCGGCGGGGGCGGCGGCGGCTGCGGGGCCGCGGAGGCCGTGAAGAGGCCGTGCACCGCGCCGGCGGCCATCATCCTCATGGTGGGGGGGGGCGGGGAGGGGGAGGGGAGGAGGGGGAGGGGGCGGCGAAGGGGGAGGGGGACCCCGCGATGGGGGGGGGGAGCCCGGCTCCGGCTGTGGGAAGGGGGGGTGCTGACAGAGCCCAGAGAGCGGACGCGAGCCGGGTGGGGAGAGGGTGAGAGGGGGGGGGTCTCGGATGGAGCCCCCCCACACACGTACCCCAGAGAACAGAGAGGTGGGGTCTCTCTCAAGATCTGAGTGGTCAGGGGACGGGACCTCCCCCCTTTCTTTGGTCCCTAGGGAGGAGGGCCGAGCCCCCCCCTCCCCCCCGCCCAGGCCCTGCTCGGGGCGGGGGGCTGGAGATGAGAGGAGGAAGAGGAGGAGGAGGAGCAGGCGGCCGCTAGTGGGGGCCCGGGGGGCAGCGGCGGGCACGGGCGGCAGCGGCGACAAGGCTGGCGGTGGCGGCTGGCCCGAGCATCTTCTTCCCGGAGGCTCCCACAGCGGCCTGGCCCCGCCCACCCGCCGGGGCCCCGCCCATGTCAGGCGAGGCCACGCCCTCTCCGCGCTCCCATTGGTCCATCTTTGAAGCCTGGGCCGCGTCCCTCCGAGTTGGCCACGCCCCTCCCGGAGTTGAGGAGAAGGGACCCGAGCTCTAGGCATCCACCCTGAGGACCACAGGTTCATCCCTCGCCCTTCCTTTCCCACCCCTCACCATTAAGGAGCTTTTCTTGAGAACTTTATTTTGGTGCCAGGGCTGGTACTAAGTAAGTGCTTCATAGAAGTGATCGCGTTTAGCCACGGGGGTGGAACGTTAATTTTTCCAGGCACTTTTCTTATCCTCATTTTATAAACGAGGAAAAGGAGCCTGAGAGACTTGACATCACTCCATCTTTTGCTTCTTCTTGTCTTCTAACCCCTGCTCCTCGCCCCCACCCCCAAGAAGAAGCAGGGAAATCCTGGTCAGGTAGTCCATTAAGAAATACAGTCCTAGCTGCTCAGGAGGCTGAGATCTAAGCATTCCTGTTTGAAGCCAAGGCAGGCAGAAAAGTCTGTGAGATTCTTATTTCCAATGAACCACTAAAGAAACTAGAAGTGGAGCTGTGGCTCAAGTAGTAGAGCGCTAGCCTTGAGAAAAAGAGGCTCAGGGACAGTATCCTTGAGTTCAAGTCCCAGGACTCTGACTCTGACTCTCTCTCTCTCTCTCTCTCTCCCTTCCTCCCCCCCTCTCTCTCTCACACACACACAGAATAGTTACAAGGCTACCACAGGAACTCAGAGGGATGAATTCAATAAAACATGGAGCTCAGAGGTTGATGTACCATCACCAGTACTCCTGGTCATCCTGCCTATGTGTCAGGTTCTTGCCCAGATGCTGGGTCATTACAGGAAACAAGATGGTGTTGGCCCTCTTGGTTTAGGATTGCCGTGAGATCCTTAGGGAATTCTGATTTTTCAGAGAACAAAACTTAGGCTTGGGAACCTGGAATGGAGCTTGTCCAAGGAGCACACAGCTAGACAGAGGGAAAACTGGAGTTTCAGTAGAGGACGAGCTTAATTTCAGAACTCTCCCTGGAAGAGGCAGGGGCTCTTCTTTGGAATGGATTGTTGGTAATAGTCATGTCTTCTGGTACATGCATTTTTGTCTCCCAAGATTCCCTGATCTCTAAGGATTTCCTTCCTTTCTAGTGTGACCAGAGCAAGATTAGGTTCTAAGGGGTGTCTGGGAAGGGGGAATTGTGGCAGGTTGGGAGGGTCTGTACACACTGAGATCTGCTCCACTTGGTATGCTCAAAGGTCCTCAGGACGAAGGGGGAAGCAGATGGCCTGGGGTGGATGGGGTGGCCGCCCATCTGTCCCCTCCCCCTTTCATTGTCCCTGGAGCCAAGGGGGAGGGAGGGAGGGGCTTGTGGTCCACTGCAGTCTGGATCCTCCCCCTCCATTTTCCTGGAGGGAGCTGAGGAGCTGGTTGCCATGGAGACAGGGAAGAGGCAAGAGGGATGCAGAGAGATGCTGAGGTCAGGCTGAGAGCCATACCTTAGGCCTTCTGAGTTCCATAGACACACACAAACACAGGTAATATTTGAGCAATCATGGAGTTGGGTGTGAAGTTTCCCCCCCTCAGGTATACAGTACACACAGAGGCACACTGGGATACACAAGTGTACAGTCTCAGTACTGGTCCACACAGGTGTGCTATGGCATGGACACACAAACACACACACACACACACACTCACACACACACTGCTAACACACATTCAGTCATGAACAGCCAGTGCTATAACACAGCCAACCATCTACTAGCCAGCCAGTCACAGCTAACATCCAAGCATGTCTCAGGTGTGAATACTTCATACGTGGTTCCCACACACCCAGAAAAGTTAGACATGCACAGACAAGACCAACAAGACACATGAACAGCCCTCTTACGTAAGACGTAGACACTGAAAACCAGCCTGGATTATAGCTTGCATGTAAACTGGGTATCAACACACACACACACGCACACACATACACATACACACACACATCTAGATACAGGGCCCAGAGTCTAGCACACACAATGACACTCATTGTTACAACACACTTGGGGTGTTGTACTGCTTACTTCTCCCCTCCCAGTGCCTGCAGCCCCAAATCCACCCAATCTTCCCGTTTGGACGCACACAACAGCCCGGTCGGTCACGCACTCACACTCACACACAAACACAAACCTCCTCCTAGATATTTTTAAACCAAGGCTAGTTCTGCTACCATGGCAACCGCCCCAAACCCATCACCATAGCAACCCAACGTCAGCTTTCCAAGCACCAAATCCTGGGGGATTGCACGGCCCCAATCAGAGGAAGGCAGAGGGGGCTGCACCCTTTCCCATCATCTGTGCGTCCCATTGTAACCCCCCCCACCTCAGAGATTTTTGGGGAGTAGACATGCTAGACTGAATAGAGACCAAGGACCAGAGACACCACAGACCAGGATCACGCTGACTCAGAGACAGCCCCTCTTTTTCTTCCTGCTTATCAGAACCCTGATGGAGGGGCTCACTGGAGTGCAGGGTAACCTGAACCTGGACATACAAGAATCTGGAGTTGGAATCCTGGCTCTGTCACTTACCTACTGTGTGACCTGGGCACCTGCTCACCCTCTCTGAGCATCAGACTCCTTCATTTGGAGAACCAGTGTTCTTGGACACTCATTTCTCTTAAGGGACCATTGTGATTCAGAGTTTTTTTTTTTTTAAGTGCAGGCAGATCTACTGTCAAATTCTAACTTTCTTTCTTCCTTCCTTCCTTCCTTTTTTTTTTTTTGTCGGTCGTGGGGCTTGAACTCTGGGCTTGGGCACTGTCCCTGGGCTCTTCAGCTCAAGGCGAGCACTCTACTGTTTGAGTCACAACCCCACTTCCAGTTTTCTAGTGGTTTATTGGAGATAAGAGTCTCACAGATTTTCCTGCCAGGGCTGGCTTTGAACCACGATCCTCAGATCTCAGCCTCCTGAGTTGCTAGGATGACAGGTGTGAGCCACCAGAGCCTGGCTTTTTCTTTTCTTCCTAGCAAAGGACTTCCCTATGACCAAGTTGAGGAGGACAGATGGTTCAATTGCACGGACTGCTGGGAAATTCTCTGCTGAGGAGTGTGGCCACTGCTCTAAGAACTCTCTATGTCTTCTAACTTAAGTCTTATACATGCCCTTGGGTAGGTAACTATTATTAGCATCATATTGCAGAAAAGGAAACTGAGGCTTGGAAAGTGTGTCTAGGATCATAGTGCTATGGAATTTTTTTTTTTTTTTTTGGTCGGTCGTGGGGCTTGAACTCTGGGCCTGGGCGCTGTCCCTCAGCTCTTCAGTTCAAGGCAAGCGCTCTACCACTTGAGCTACAGCGCCACTTCCGGTTTCCTGGTGGTTTATTGGAGATAGGAGTCTCACAGTCTCTTCTGCCTGGACTGGCTTTGAACTGTGATCCTCAGATCTCAGCCTCCTGAGTAGCTAGGATTACAGGCGTGAGCCACCAGCGCCCGGCTTGCTATGTAATTTTTAAGTGTAGCCTGTTGAGCTGGGCTCTGGTGGCTCACACCTGTCATCCTAGCTACTCAGGAGGCTGAGATTTGAGGATCACAGTTCAAAGGCAGCTCCCAGCAGGGAAGTCCAGAAGACTGTTACTTCCAAGGAAACAGCAAAAAGCAGGACCAAGTGGAGGTATGACTCAAGTGGTAGAGTGCCAGACTTGAGAAAAGAAGTTTAAGGAAGAACACAGGGTTCTGAGTTCAAGACTCAGAAACTACATGAGTTGGTGAGGGTGTCCAGTAGAAGACCCATTCTTAGCCATTGTAAAGGAGAGAGTGTGGAAAAGGGTGATAAAATGATGAATTCTTTTCTTTCTTTTGTCAGATGTTGGGCTTGAACTGGGCCTGGGCATTGCCCCTGAACTCTTTTGCTCAAGGCTAGCCCTCTACCACTTTGAGCCACAGTTCCACATCTAGTTCTCTGGTAATTAATTGGAGATAAGAGTCTCACAAGCTGGGTGCTAGTGACTCACACCTGTAATCCAAGGTACTCAGGAAGCTGAGATCTGAGGATGGAGGTTCGAAGCAAGCCCAGGAAGGAATGTCCATGAGACTCTTATCTCCAATAAACTACTCAGAAAAAGCTGGAAGTGATGCAATGGCTCAAGTGGTAGAGCACTAGCCTTGAGCACAAAGAGGTTCAGGAACAGTGCCCAGGCCCTGAGTTCAAGCCCCAGGATGTAGGGGGGAGGGGAATCTCATGAACTTTCCTGCCTGGGCTGGTTTTGAATCTTGATCCTCAGATCTCACCCTCCTGAGTAGCTAGAATTACAGGGGTAAGA